CATATTAGAGTTTAGGATTGCATAAAAGCATTTTAGGTTGCATATCCATTTGCATTTGTTTACATTAGGTGATGGAGTACCTCAAGAAGCTTTTAAGGGAGTTTGGAGTAGTTTTGGTTCAAGAAAGGCTGAAATGATCAACTTGCGAGTTTCAAGTGTCACAGCGAGGTCTGAGAGCGACATTAGGGGGTCGCAATGTCTTGAGCGAGCTTCAGCGCGGGGTCTCACCCGACCTTTAGACCCCGCTCTGGACAGAACTTACCCGGAGATGAGTTGTGCATCAAGTGTCACCGCGGGGTCACACAGCGACCAAGGAGGGTCGCTCCAGCTTGAGCGTGCGCCAGCGCGGGCCTTTCACCCGACCATTAGACCCCGCAGTGGACAGGACATCCGGAGATCATACTTCCAAGTGTTGGAGCGAGGTCTCCCAGCGGCCAAGAGGGGTCGCTCCAGATCAATCGTGCACCAGCGCGGGGTCTCACCCGACCCTTGCACCCCGCTCCAGCACTATTCACTCTCGAGTTTATGTTTTAATTTGGGCCTAATTAACCTGTGAGTTAAGCCCATTAGCGTTTTTAAGTACCATATAAATACTCTTAAGGACGTTTTGAGAGATCTTATCTTGTTTTCTCTGAAAAACCTAAGAACTTATTGGTGAAAGATTATAACTTTATTTTCTTCTCATCTTATTCTCTTGAGTTTGTTGAGTAATCTTGATCTCTAATCATGTTTAATCAACAATCAGTCATTGTTGTTGGGTTAATCATGAGTGTTAGTGAGTAGATCCATCTTAGATTCATGGGATAGGTTGATAAGGGTGATTAAGTGTAGATCTAAAGTGTTAGGTGTTAGATCCTTGTGTTTCCTTGTTAGATGAGTGATTTTAATGCTTGATTAATGTTGGCCTCTTTAGTCATGATCATTAGACATTTTCTGCCCACAAGGTGTTTGTTTAAATGTCTGAACCAACTCATCTAACTTTATTACTACCTAGCCAATGACCATTTGTATCTAGGGGTTTTAGATAGTTATTAAACCTACTCTTAATGATTGATTTCATTAATTAAGCCAATGACCATTTGTGTTTGATTAATGAAAGCAAATGAGCATTTGTCTAGACCTAGAACTTGCTTAGCTTATGTGTTTAGACTTAAGGAAATACTTTGATTGAAAGCTTGCTATTTTAGATTGAACCTTGATCACCTAAATCATATACCTATCCCCATGAGTCTAGCCTCCACTAATTGAGAAAAAAGTTTGTTACTTGTTAGTTTCTTTAAATTGTTCTCAAATCACTTGATACTCTCAATATTGATAGCACTTAGATTAAGCTTTGTCTTGTAATCTCATTGGTTTATGATTGCTTAGAATTGGTTCGATATCTTTTATACTTTGACATTTGAATAGGAATCTAAAAACTCCTATTATCAANAGCCTCCACTAATTGAGAAAAAAGTTTGTTACTTGTTAGTTTCTTTAAATTGTTCTCAAATCACTTGATACTCTCAATATTGATAGCACTTAGATTAAGCTTTGTCTTGTAATCTCATTGGTTTATGATTGCTTAGAATTGGTTCGATATCTTTTATACTTTGACATTTGAATAGGAATCTAAAAACTCCTATTATCAACTTCCAAGGTCCTACTGATCAGTTTGTGACCCCCATTAATCCTGAAGTCTCAATGGCTGGAAAGACACGACAACAGAATCTCCATGATGCTATTTATAAGGGGAAGACACATGCTGTCCACCAGTTTTGTGCTCGATGGATCTATCAGTTAAATATCTCATTTAATGCCATTGACAATGAGTCGTTTAGGTTATTCTGCCAAGCTTTAGGGCAGTTTGGACCTGGGTGAATACCTCCAACACAATATCAGCTGAGAGAACCTTTGCTAAATGAAGAAAATAAAAGCACAAAAGAAAAGCTAAAGACTCTGGAAGAAGAATGGGACAGAGAAGGTTGCTCGGTTATGACAGATGCGTGGACTGATAGGAAGAAACGAAGCATCATGAATCTGTGTGTTAATTCAAGAGGGGGTACATGCTTCCTTTCTTCAAAGGACACTTCTAAAGATTCACACACATGTGAGTATATCTTCAGATACATTGACAAATGTATTGGCGATTTAGGGGCTGAGAAAGTTGTGCAAGTTGTCACAGATAACGCCACCAACAATGTAGCTGCTGCTAGGCTTCTTAAAGAGAAGAGACCAAATATCTTTTGGACTGGATGTGCTGCTCATACTCTTGATTTGATGCTTGAGGGAGTTTCCAAGCTGCCGGGTTTTGCTAAAGTTATAGAGCAAGCAAAAGCACTCACAATATTTGTGTATGCTCATCATACAACATTAAACATGATGAGAACATATACAAGGAGAGATATTGTGAGGCCAGGGGCTACAAGGTTTGCAACATGCTTCTTGACACTTAACAGTCTAAACGAAAAGAAGGCACAGCTGAGGAACATGTTTAACAGTGATAAATGGCACGATTGCAAACATTCAAAGATTGCAAAGGGGAAGCTATCATCTGAAACTGTGATGAGTTGTTCATTTTGGAACAATGTTTCCACTGTTTTGAAAGTATTTACCGCAATGGTGAAGGTTCTAAGACTTATTGATGGAAAGAAAATTCCTTCTCTTGGTTTTATTTATGGTGAGCTCTTAGTGGCTAAGAATTCTATCAAAGAAGATACTGACCACTTAGAGAAGAACTACCAACTTATCATTAAGATCATTGATGAGAAGATGAAAGGTAGGTTGGATTCTCCTTTGCATATGGCTGCTTATTTCCTCAATCCATTCTACTTCTACAAAGACCCCAATATTCAGTTTGACTTGGAGGTTATGGACGGATTCATCATGTGTGTAAAGACATTCTATCATGGTGATTTTGAAAAACCGAATTCAGTTGTCAATCATGAAGTTAATCTATACAAGAGTAAAAGTGGCTCTTTTGGTAGAAAATTGGCAATGATGGGCTGTGAGAAAAAGGACAAATTTGATCCAGGTTTGTTTTGCATTTTAAATATCTTCGTTTAAGAAGTATATTTTACATAAGATGACTTTAACTATCTCTCATTCAACTTGTTCAATCTCAGAAAATTGGTGGTCTACGTATGGATGTGGTACACCACATCTGCAGAAGTTAGCAACAAGGATCCTTGCTTTGACATCTGGTTCCTCTGGCTGTGAAAGAAGCTGGAGCAGCTTTGAAGCGGTTAGTGTATTAGTTACTTCTTTGCAATATGTTCGAAGACTGATATTATATCTAATTAAATGTCACTTTTTATGTTGTAGATACACATAAAGAAAAGAAATAGGCTAGATGTGAATAGGCTAAACAGCCTAGTCTATGTCCAATTCAATGCGAGATTGTTTAACAAGCATAAAAAGATAAGAGAAAGCAATGTTGACGTCATTTTCGATGTGGTATTATACATATAAAAGTATAAAAAATTCATTTCCGTGTACTTCCTGATTTTTTTCCAATTTTTCAATAAATCGCTAGGTCCGTATGTACCGAACGCATAGCGCCTAGCGAGTTTCTGAACAAGGTATCTACCACAGTAAAACTTACAGATTTTCTGTGAAAAATTTAAAAATAAGAATGCAGGTTGTGGGGTTCGAACCCACGCGCACTTATGTGCAGAAGAACTTAAGTCTCCCCCCTTAACCTCTCGGGCAAACCAGCGAACTTATTCATTTTCGCTGATGCAACAAATCTACCCTCATTTGATGGTCGTGATTCAAAATGAGAAAAACAATCTTCTCTATAGATTGTGATTCAGCCTGAATCCCACAACTTGTGCATCATCCTGTTGGCCATCTCGTTCACAGCTCCAGAACAGATTGAAATACACAAGCTGCAGCGGAGACGTCCTTGATCAGGGTTAACTATTCAAACTTAATTAGTTTATGATTTTTTTCGTATGAAATCACTAGTTAAAGGGATGTTTTGTAAATTAACAGAATTAAACAAGTGAACTCATCAGAGTCTCAAGTCAGTCCACGTCGTGGACTCCACGAGCTCATCAGATACACTCATGTTCTCGAATGCTTCGTGGAAAGTATTCTGATATACCCCAGTTGGAAAATAACTATTCTAACTATCCCATCATTTTTCTCACTGTCTCACTTTTTTTTTTGTTCGTAGTAGTTTCTAGTAATTCAAGGTAGTTTGTTTTTTGTTCATAGTAGTTTCTAGTAATTTAAGTTAGTTTCTATTAATTCAAAGTAATTCAAAGTAGTTTCTAATAATTCATATTACACATAATACTGATTTATTAAGGGTAATTAATTTTTTAATCATAATTAGACTTTGAGTAAAGAAAAAAAAATCAAATTTATGGTGGTTTAAAATAGAATGAAGATGGTACTGAGTGGGGTAATGTAGAATTTAGTCCATGCTTCGTCCTCCACATTGAATCCTTCAGCTAACAATGCTAGACATCGATCTCCGTCTTCTCCTTCCCTCATCACAATCCGTAAGCTCTCTATTCTATTCAATATCGCGAGCAGTTCTGATCAATTCGTTTTTTCTTGGGGGAGTTTAGGTTTACGTGCTGGTGTTTTACTTCGTCTACTTAGCCGTTGCTGGAGAAATCCTCCCTGGAAAAGTTATCCGCGGCGTCGTTTTATCTGATGGCTCTCAGCTTCGTTACCGATGCAATGGTTACTTGATCTGATTCTACTCTCTCTAAAGAGATAATATTAGCTAGGAAGTTTAATTTTGCCCTTTAAACATGTTTAGGTCTACTCGCACTGACGTTGCTGGTTGCTATTCTGGGAATCTCTGCGAAACTCGGCGTTTTGTCACTTCTTGTAAGTGCTGTACTATGTGATCAGGTCGACAAGACCAGTGTTAAAGACACTGTTTTCTGTTTCAGAGAGTTAAGGATTGTAATTTGCTTCTTTTTTTTGAGTTAGGTGGTTGCTGATAGAGGACTTGAGTTACTTTCAGCTACTTTTATCTTCTGTGTTTTGGTAAGATTGATTAATACTTTCATTTGTGCCTCTTCACTCTTGGTTTGTTGCTTTGCATCTAGTGATTTGAACTCTATGGTTTCTCTTTATATGGCCAGGTGACATTGGTATTGTACATTACAGGGCGCTATTCTTCGGATAAGAGTTCTTCTCTAAAGCCTCATGTCTCAGGAAATCTTGTACATGACTGGTACTTGGCATATTACATTTGTCTGTTTTGTTAGATTTTATATGTAGTTTTACTCTGGAAAGAGTCAAACTAAGGAACTATACATAGTCTGGTTTACACTATGGAGAATATAAAATAACGATTTTGAGGATATGATTGTATTGAAGCATGATGACTGTTTTTCTCCTAGAAAGACATGGATTAGCTTTTACACTTAAGTCATTGAAACCGAATTTTTGGTTTATGCCTTTCACTTGCTTCTTCCAAACAGTGGCTTTGATTTTTTTTTTCTCATCTTGTTTGTTTCATGTGAAAGGTGGTTTGGAATACAGTTGAATCCTCAGTTTATGAGCATCGATCTCAAGTAATCCCTCTTCCATTTTTTCTTCAGTGCTTTAGTTACACATGTTTATGATGATATTACTTTTGTAGGTTTTTCTTTGTCAGAGCCGGGATGATGGGATGGCTGCTTATCAATCTCTCTATTCTGGCAAAATGTTTCCAGGATGGTTCCTTGAGTCGGTCCATGATACTTTACCAGATTTTCTGTGCGGTACATTTGTTTTTACTGACAACTCCTCTCCTTCCTGAAGTTCTCTGACCTTCCTTGTTTTGCTATTTTTTATTTAACTTTGTAATTGCAGTTATATATATTGGACTACTTTGTTCATGAAGAATATATGACCTCCACGTAAGTTCATGGCGTCTTGAGCAACCATATTTTTCTCTTATTGTCTCATATTGAGTCTTTCTAAGTACCTTTTACCCATTTTATCCTTTTCACAGGTGGGACATAATTGCAGAGAGATTGGGCTTCATGCTGGTGTTTGGAGATCTCCTGTGGATTCCTTTCACTTTTAGCATCCAGGCATGTAACTGCCCGGTTGAAAACAAACAGGACATACATTGATTTTATCTTATCACAGTGTCTCTTTAGCATGTAAACAGTTTTCTTGGAAACAATATTATTCTTGAATGCTGTTGATCAGTCTGTGACTAGATTATCTTTCATTTGGTACAGGGCTGGTGGCTTTTGTACAACAAAGTAGAACTGTCAGTTCCTGCTATTGTTGACAATTGCTTTGTGTTCTTAATAGGGTAAGTTCTGTGTCATTGGGTTATAGTACCTTCTTGGCAACTAAACTAAGAAAACCACGTATTATTTTTTTCTGGCAGGTACATGGTGTTTAGAGGGGCTAACAAGCAAAAACATATCTTTAAGAAGAACCCTAAAACACTTATATGGGGCAAACCTCCAGTGGTGGTTGGTGGAAAGTTGCTTGCTTCAGGCTATTGGTATGGTTTTTTTTCCTCATCCTCTAGCTTCTTTGCTTGGTCTCAACCGTCTATGTCTTTAATTCTCCCCCATGTTGGGAATGGTGAACAATGCTATACATTTCGATAACTTAGATGCTGTTTTAAAACATTGCAGGGGGATTGCAAGACACTGTAATTACCTTGGCGACTTGATGCTTGCTCTGTCTTTCAGTTTGCCCTGTGGAATAAGGTAACTTGTGCTGCTTGAGTGCATCTTACGCCAAATTCATGTCACAACTACGTCCAAGAGTCCCTAATAAAGCTCGCAAGTTCATTGTCCGATCACTTATTTAAAACCAATCTGGGATGTTTCAGTGATGTTGTTCTTGTGTATTGTCTCAGTTCGCCGGTTCCATATTTCTACCCGATATACCTCCTAATACTGTTGATATGGAGAGAAAGAAGAGACGAGGAACGATGTGCAGAGAAGTACAAGGAGGTTTGGACTGAGTATCTTAGACTTGTCCCCTATAGAATCCTTCCTTACGTCTATTAATAGTAGTGCATAAGTCATGGATCCTTTGAGATCCGTCCTCTTATGCGTTTCTTTCATTTTCTTGTTTCTAACGTGACATTAGAAGATCCCATTATGGGTTTTACTCATCGCAAAATCTTTTCTTTTTTTTTTGCTTTGTGAAACTATTCTTTTCATGTCTTTTATTTACAACTTGCAACGCTCGCAAAGCTCAACATATATGGCAAGAGCCACGGTTAGCAAGAAGACGCATATGATTGGTGAAAAGACGACGTTCACACGTCACATGTCATGTATGATTAATAACTCCAAGATCACATGTCATGTATTAAGCCACTTCATAATTGACCTTCCGAAATAAATGAACATCAATAATTCTCAAAAAAAATCTTTCATAGTTGACTTTGAGTTTATGAATTACCATCAAATGCTCATCTTTCATATCTAATAATTTCTTGTCATACTAGAAAATAATCTCATGATCCATACTAAACTCTCTATGGCACATAAGAATAACAATTACTAGATGAAAAAGAAGTAAATTACTACTATGGTCGTTATTTGCATTTTTATTACTAAAAGATTCAGGATTGAAGCCGTAACTTTTACAGATCCAACATCATAGAAAAAGCACCAGCCTAGTATCAGAGCTGGTCCTAGGGATTTAAGGGTCAGAAGCAAAATAAAAAAAATTTGGTCATTTTTTAAACAGAAAAAAAGAAAAATAAAATAAAACACTAATATAGTTACTAGAAATTTCAAATCCTGGATACTTGAAGGCACTTACACCACAAACTACCACTAGACCAAAGGGAACTTATGCCATTTTGTGGTCGAATTTAATGTATAAAGTTAATGATCGAAAGCAGGTGCTTCCTTTGCTTTGTCCAAGGGCCGGCATTGCTTAGTATTTACATCTTCTTTAGTCTAAATATCTATTATCTAAATCTAAAATGTGAGTAAAATTTCTTAAATTTTCTCTGATGTCAGTATATTTATATACTTATGGAAATGAAAACATTATAATGTTGAATATTGATGCATACCAAAAAGGCAAACAAATAAATAGAATATGGTGTCTTTTTCTTGGTCATCAGTGACGAAGTTTAGGAAATGTATAAAAGCTTTTAAAAGTTGAAATACACCACCTAGTCGCTTTTATTTCCATATATTTTATTTTCTTTGTCAAACATTATTTTATTTTCTTGAATATGATTAAATACGGGAACATTTGTTTCCATTTATAATCATATGCATAATGCAGTAATATATACATACCAAATTACCAATTGTACCACGATGATCTAATCCCATATAATTGTTATAGTGACATGTATCATGTATGATTTAAATCCAAAAGCCCAAAAGGATGAAAATACAAACTGTAATTAGAGATTCGACAAGACACCTTTTAAACTTCGAAAACAAGTTGTATAGTGTAGTCTACGGTCATGTCGGTAGAAAAGCAAATGGCTTTGATAGCTTGATTTATGCTGATGAATCGATGCTGATTCAGTTTCAAGTAAACGAAGAGAAAGAGTTGCGGTTTATTCGGTTGATGCGGCTCTATCTTCAATTTTCCATGTTCGGAGATATGAAAGTCGCACTTTTCCTGTGAAACTATAAAAAATAGTCTATTTTTGTAGAAAATAATATTATATGGAGTCTAGAAGTCAAACTGTATAAGTGCTTATCATGACAATATACAATAGAGTTGAAAAGAAGTTATATAGTATTACACCAAAAAAAAGAAGTTATATAGTATTACACAGACTCGTTTTAATTCGTTTGACGGTTCGAGCTAGCGAAGGTTTTATGTTGGGCCGTCCATGGTGCGGTCGAAGTCATGCATTTCCAGAAATGATATGGTTACCAAATTACCCCTGCCAGCTACTGCATTAAAATACAAGCTAATAAGGGTAAAAAAGAGAATAAGCCAAAAACTGCCAACTCTAAACCACGTGAGAGATCCAACGGCCCAAAATAAGTTTCTTGGAGAACATGCCACAGATCTAAACCCTTTAATCAACCTCTCATCTGCCAGCTATAAATACCAAAGCCTTTCCTCTCTACTGGTCCACCAAACTTATAAATCTCTCACATCTTCTCTGATATTCCCTCTCGATCAATCCGTCAAAAAAAAAAAAAACAATGTCTGCCTTCACCAGCAAATACGCCGGTATAATCTCTTTCTCAATCGTATTCACTAGTACTCATTTCGTTATCATAAAACGCTGGATCTGTTCGCGTTTTTAACTCTTTAGATCTGGAGTTTATTCGTTATTTCTGCTTGTTTTAGGGGTTTATATATGAAACTAGCGTAGATATGACTTATAGTGAACGATCCAATCGAATTGAATTGACGATTTGAAGTTTTCATTGGTTTCTCGTAGTGATCTCGTTTAGTGATTGTTTTATGTGTTACAGTTTCTTGTTCTGGAGATCGAAATTGATCAATCGATAAATTCTATCAAAATTTAGTGTAGATCTGACTATTTTCATCAGATTAGGGTTTAGAGTGAACGATCTAAACAATTTGTATTCGCGATCTGAAGTTTTTTAATCTCTTTCTCGTAACGATTTTGTTACGTTTAGTGATTGTTGTTGTATTGTATGGTGTTTCTTTGACAGATGAGTTGATCGCGAACGCTGCCTACATCGGCACACCCGGGAAAGGTATTCTCGCCGCCGATGAGTCCACCGGTACCATCGGAAAGCGTCTTGCCAGCATCAACGTCGAGAACGTTGAGTCAAACAGACGTGCTCTCCGTGAGCTTCTCTTCACCGCCCCTGGTGTTCTCCCTTGCCTCAGTGGTGTCATCCTCTTCGAGGAAACTCTTTACCAAAAGAGTTCCGATGGTATGCAATCATTTTTTTGGTTTAAATGTTAAATAACACACAAAAATTACATGTTTGGGATTGGAACCCTGGATATGTAGAAGATTTGCGGAACAGCTAACCGCTGGACCACGTGTAATGTGTTTTGTTACGTTTCTGATTGTTTTTGTTTTTTACGCAGGCAAGCTTTTCGTTGATATCTTGAAGGAAGGAGGAGTTCTCCCAGGTATCAAAGTCGACAAGGGTACCATCGAGCTAGCCGGAACCAACGGTGAGACTACTACCCAAGGTCTTGACGGTCTCGGTGAGCGTTGCAAGAAGTACTACGAAGCTGGTGCACGTTTCGCCAAGTGGCGTGCGGTTCTCAAGATCGGCGAGAACGAGCCATCAGAGCATTCCATCCACGAGAACGCTTACGGATTAGCTAGGTACGCTGTTATCTGCCAGGAGAACGGTCTTGTACCCATCGTTGAGCCTGAGATCCTTGTTGATGGGTCCCACGACATCCACAAGTGTGCTGCCGTCACCGAGCGTGTCCTTGCGGCTTGCTACAAGGCTCTTAGCGACCACCACGTCTTGCTTGAGGGAACTTTGTTGAAGCCTAACATGGTTACTCCTGGTTCCGACAGTGCTAAGGTTGCACCTGAGGTTATCGCTGAGCACACCGTTCGTGCTCTTCAGAGAACCGTCCCACCAGCTGTTCCAGCTATTGTTTTCTTGTCTGGAGGACAGAGCGAGGAGGAGGCGACCAAGAACTTGAACGCGATGAACCAGTTGAAGACCAAGAAGCCATGGTCGTTGTCTTTCTCTTTCGGACGTGCGTTGCAGCAGAGCACTTTGAAGACATGGGCTGGTAAAGAGGAGAATGTCAAGGCCGCTAAAGAGGCTTTGTATGTGAGGTGCAAGGCTAACTCTGAAGCTACACTCGGAACCTACAAAGGTGATGCTAAGCTTGGTGATGGAGCCGCAGAGAGCCTTCACGTGAAGGACTACAAGTACTGAGAAAACGTCGTCGATGGTTTCTGTTGTGACGTCTTCATCACCAACCCTTGATATTTTTCCATGGGTTTTTTCTACTTTTTTTTTTGCTTGACACTATCGTATTAACGATGCTTTTTTCGATTTTTGTTTTCAATTTCTTTACGATTTGTGTTTTGATTTTCATTGGGTGTTTTTTCTAAGTTGTGTGTTTGAAAAACGCCCAAATAAAAAGCCATCTGTATGAATGGTGTTAACATTTTGGTTCTCCACCAAATATCATTAAAGCCCTACACTTATTGCGTATATTGTGAGTCAAGAATTACATCATACTATGTCTAAAGTCTAACAGAAGTATATATGGTAAAAAAAAAATGACTTTGATATGAATTTTAAAGAGACATTTGAGCGCATGTACAGTATAAAATCTAATTTGATCGCATATACATAAGAAATCTCACCTGATGTAACTTTGTTTACTGTCAAAAACTAGTATGATCCTCTTCATGTAACCTCAGTGAGAGATTTTATTCATTCGAAGTTGCTTATCAGTCCTTTCTTGTATTATCTTTAGTTTGCTGATTATAGAAAAGATTGAAGTTACACTTTTGTAAATGATTAGGTGCCATTCTAACATACTGAAACTACACTACATTGAAAACTGAAAATCATATCTACAGTGGACAAAAACATGGAACATTGGATTCTTTCCCTACTAATCTGTGAATCAAAACATATAATACCGAACGAGGGAGTCTTATCATAACTAACTCTGATATACGTAAAAAAAAAAAACAAAATGTGATATACATTTAGAAATCAGAAATCCTTAGACTTAGTTCAGAAAAGTTGTAAATCCGGTGAAGTTAAACCGAGAAATGTCAGAAAACTAGTAAAACATCACAAACCATTCGATTCACGGTTAGGAGTAAAAACATCCTCAACGCAAACACTTGAAGATGTGTTAAAGCATGGAGCCCACCAGAACATAAGAAGAAACGGAGTCAAAATGGCTTGATTAAAAGGAAAATTGACAAAATAACCCTCAACTTTCGAAAATAAGCCAAAAAAAACTCCAATTCACAAACAAGCCATTTTAATCTTCAACTTCTAGTCAAACACGAATAAATCTCATACTTTCGTTGACCAAGCCATTTTAATCTCGTCAAAATTCAACCGTTTAGTTCCGTTAGTTATATTTAACGGTTGACTTTTAATGAGCCTAAAATGGCTTGGTCAACGAAAATATGAGATTTTTTTTATTTTAATTTAGAAGTTGAAGATTAAAATTGTACACTTATCTTAACTTAAAAATTGCTATTTTTGTTTATTTGTTTCAACAAAAATTGTAGTTTATCATATCAATTAGAATGACAAACTTAATAAAATATGTTCATATAAGCTTAGTTATAATATTTTTAAATGAATTAAAAAGAAAAAAAAATTGTTTAGTAAAAAAATTTCATTAAAAATATAATTATACTGTAAATCCATATATAAAATAAAATAATTAAGTACTTATGTTCAAAAAAAAATTAAGAATAAAAACATAAAGTTAAAGGTAAAACCCTAAACACATTATTGTTAAAAGTATAATCGCATATACTCAATAGAGGATGAAACAAGTGAAAATGAGGAGCTCAAGTGCGTGAAAGGGATTTCCAGCAGTTGATGTATATAATTTTTTAATTCATTTTTAAATATTATATCTAAACTTATTTGAACATATATTATTAAGTTAATGATTACAATCGATATAAAAAATATAATTTTTCTGTCAGTTAAAAAATAAATTTTAGTTAAGATATTTTCAAATAAGCAATTTTAATCTTCAATTTTTAAAGTAAGTTAAAAAAAAATATCATACTTTCGTTGATCAAGCCATTTTAGGCTCATTAAAAGTCAACCGTTAAATATAACTAACGGAACTAAACGGTTGAATTTTGACGAGATTAAAATTGCTTGGTCAACGAAAGTATGAGATTTATTCGTGTTTGACTAGAAGTTGAAGACTAAAATGGCTTGTTTGTGAGTTGGAGATTTTTTTGGCTTATTTTTGAAAGTTGAGGGTTATTTTGTCAATTTTCCCCTTGATTAAACGCTGGAACTTGCACTATTTCGCGGATACCATTTTTGCGGACACCACTGACATATAATAATTCGCAATTGATTGCTTTTTATTTTTTAAAAATTTTTTTAATCAGATAAAAAATTTAAAAACAAAAAATTAAAAATAATCATTCCTCCCAGCACCCCATATGCGTTGATTAGGGCAGGCAAAAAATCCGGATCCGAAAAACCAAACCGAACTCGATCCGAAAAAGTAGTATGAACCCGAACCGAAATTGATTCAATATCCGAATGGGTTCAAAATTTTGGTATTTAAAGAACCGAAACCGAACCCGACCCGAACCGAAGTATTTCGGGTATCCGAATATATCCGAAAGAGATTTATATATCTATATATATTAATTATTTTAGATTTAATATATATAAAAAACATTCAATATATATATAAAATACTTTGAAGTTATTCAAAATAGTTGTAAATATATGTAAATAGTCAAACATACATGTCTAAAAGTGATAAAGTACACTCAAAACATCAAAAATACTTAAAAAAATTATTGATACACAATCCAAATATTCAAATCAAACTAATTTATATGTTAATTTTAGATATTTTGACTTATGTTATTCAATTATTTGTAATATATTAATTTGTTTATAATTTTTTAGAAATTTAAAGTATATAATCAATTTTAAAATTTTAAAAAAGAATTTAAATGGGTTATCCGGACCCGAACCGAACCCGCAAAGATCCGAACCGAACCCGAACCGAAATTTAAAAATATCAGAATAGGGCTAAAATTTGTGAATCCGAAAACCCGAAACCCGAATAGATCCGAATCTAACCCGAATGAGCACCCGAACGCCCAGCCGTAGCGTTGATAATGGGTTTTAAGAACAGAAAAACAAAACGTTGTAAAATTCTTTAGGCTCTCTCTTCTTCACCGTTTCCCTTACTATACCAAAACGAACCGGAATAAACCTTAAACCGGTCCATCCCCAAACCCTTCCATCCTCTCCCTCGACCTCCCTAGTATCAATTTCGTCGTCCCCCCGTCAGATTCCGTGCTCCGGCGTCTCAAAGGTGCCACCTTTCAATTTCAAAAACAATATAAAGTTCCAACCTTTATTCTGATTAACCTCTAAAAACCTTCTCAAACCCTTGTTTCATTGTCTAACTGAAGGATTCTAATGAAGTATGTGAAGCCACTGAGGTTATTGGGTGATGCTTTGAAGACAAAAGTGTCGGTACCTGGTCGGTTTCTCGGGTTAGATGTTGGTGACAAGTATGTTGGATTAGCTGTTTCAGACCCTTCTAATATGATTGCGTCTCCTTTGAGGTACACATGATTCAGTTTCATTCACAATACAAGTCCTGTCTAGTTATACTTTAACTTCTGTTTCAGTGTTCTGCTAAGGAAGAAAACAAACATTGAGTTGATGGCTACGGATTTTCAGAATCTGGTAGGTGCTTGCTTTGTTTCTGTACTCTCAACTAGACTTGGTCTTAGACAGATGGATAGCGTTTAGATTTTGTTAACAAGTGAAGGAACATGTATAGCTTGATAGTGTGTACTAAGATTGTTATGGTTGATCAATACTTAGATGCTTGATATCTCTGTAAAAAATGCACGAGTCCTTGCTGCCTTTGTATGTAGATAATCGAGTTATGAACTCTGTTTTAGTACACCAATAACTTGCTTTTACTCATGCAGGTCAAATCATTTTCTGTGTCAGGCTTAGTCGTTGGCTATCCGTTTGGCAAACTGAACAATGTTGAAGACGTAAGTTTTCGTCTTTTTAGTGACAGTGTTGTTCCTCTTCACTTGCACTTATAAAATGAAGATTTTTTTTCAATTTGGAATAGGTTGTCACTGTGAATCTCTTCATTGAGGAACTTCGTAAAACCGAAAAACTCAAAGATGTGAAGTACACTTATTGGGACGAGCGTTTATCATCAAAGGTATAGTTTTCTTACAGATTTTAAAAATCTTGCAAGTCATAGTATAATCCCTTGGATCTCATGTAATACTGTCCGCAGACCGTTGAACTGATGTTGAAGCCTTTGAAACTGCATCCAGTTCAAGAGAAGACAATGTTGGACAAGTTTGCCGCTGTAGTTATACTTCAGGTACGGTTACTAGTTCTGCATTTGTTAGATACTGATGAAGTCTATCTTCTTCTCACATGGAAACCTCTGTTATGTTTGGTTGCTACTTGCAGGAGTATTTAGATTACGCAAACAGGTATGTAAACACTGAGCCAGCAGAGTAAGAGAGAAGCCAGGTACTGACAAGCTAGATTGGATGTTAACAGTCTTCTATAATTAGCTACACGAGCTAGTTTTGGATAAATGAGTATGATTTGTTGTTTAATTTATCTATGTTTACAAAGACATCTTGCATCAAACACAATAATATCTCTTAACAAACTTTGTTTTGGGCAGTTCCTATGTTTGTGTTAAGCATTTTGTAACATCCTCTGCAAAACCTAGCCGCTGTTGAACTTTTTCCTTAACAGTCATCTTTTTCTGGGGCTTGAAGTTTCCAGTCTCTTGATACCGCCACCTTCCACATCTCTTCTTCATTCTCTTCCTTTGGAAGCTTACTGTTGGGTTGACTGCAGAAGCTGTAACAGGAGCAGCTCCTGAGTTCTTGCTACTCATTTCTTTCTTTCTTTCTTTTTTGTTATTACAAGTCTTTTATGCCTCTCCCAATATATATCTTTCTACTTTTTCTTAGAAGTTTCTTTTAGGGACAAAGTTGATGAATACATGGGAATGGGATTATGATGTCTCAGAATAGGCTAAAATTTACATATTATACTTGAGTTGAGATATATAACTTACAACAACGTTTACTCTGAATACTTTAGCCAGAAAATTTTCTCATCTTTTGCTTAAAGACCCTTTAACTTAGAACAATTCAAACTCCAGATGATCACCTATGGCTTTACATTCAAGATACCTATTATCGTTCCCTCCAGGTGAACCTGCAGCTCCTTCTCCACCGCCAAACTCATAGATATCAGGAAGCTCAGGTGGTATTGCACACCGGATTAGAGCCCAATTCAATCCTTCAAAGAACGGATGTCTTTTAATCTCTGCAGAGCCTTTCTCTGACCCAAACCGGTTCTCCGGTTCCTTAACAAGAAGCCCTCTGATCAAATCCTTTGCCTGGAAGCTCACAAGCGGGATATCAGGAAACTTGAGGTTCTGCAACACAACATTGGCCAAAGTCCTGTCGTTGTTGGAGCCTTTGAACGGTGTTTTCCCGTATAAAAGCTCGTAAAGGAGAACTCCAAAAGTCCACCAGTCAACCGCAGCGCCGTGTCCTTCTCCTCTGATGATCTCTGGAGCTAAGTACTCGTGTGTTCCCACAAAGGAGTTGGATCTTGCTTCTGTTGGTTCAGCCACAAGCTGAGGCAATGATCTCTTCAAAAGATGATCAGCTCTTTTTGGTTTTTGGACTTGTTGTTGTTGGTTTGAGGAGAGCCTTGGGCTGAAACATGAAACATGGCAAGATGGTTCCATGGTACAGAATGGTTGTATGCAGTTGGATGTGTTGTATGGATCTGAAAGTCTTGCGGGATCGTTCCCTGGAGGAGAAGTTGATCTGAGAAGAGTTGGATTAACTGCACATCTAAGTGAGAGGTCGAAATCCGTAAGCATAATGTGTCCATCTTCACGGACTAGAATGTTTTCTGGCTTCAGGTCTCGGTATATAACACCAAGCATGTGTAAATACTCCAGTGCAAGTAGAATCTCCGCAACATAGAACCTGAAAACAAATTTTTATCATCAGTTTTTACTTTTTAGTAACTATTAATAGCGCTGCGGATTTTTTCCGAACCAACCCTAACCAAACCGAACCAAAATTTTGGGTTTTTTGGTCAGTTTTTGGTGAGTTTGGTTTTCCAAAAGAAAAAGAAAAACGGAAATAACCAAAATTAACCGAAATAACTAAACCAAACTAACCAAAATAACTGACTTAACCAAAAATACCTGAATTTTACCGAAACTATCTGAGTTCTTTTTCCAAAAATATAAAACCGAAAATAACCGAAAACCGATTCGATTTTTCCAGTTTACTTCAATGGGATTGTGGCCAAACCGAATTAACCGAAACCAAAAATAACCAAACCGAATTAACCGAAACCAAAAATAACCGAACCGAATTAACCGAAACCGCATGCCTACTAGTATTAATGATCATTACCTTGCTGCAGGTTCAGGGAAACACCGGCTTAGCTGCTTCTGCCTAAGAACATGAAGATCTCCACCAGGACAATACTCCATGACCAGACAAGACAAATGATCCGAACTAAACTGCGCATACAACGTAGGAAGAAAAGGATGGTCCAACATTTTAAGTATGTCCCTTTCCGCTTGTGCCCTTGGACTCTTTTTCCTTTTTGCCAAGAACTCATTGTCCATCACCTTTATGGCAAACAAGCAGTTTGTACCAATCAGCTCGGCTAGATAGACTGTTCCTATATCTCCACAACCTAGTTTCTTCAAAAGGTTAAAGTGACGTAAACTCAAAGAGCCGTGTTGCAACTTGGCATGCTTAATAGCTTCCCATTTCACATCCATCGACATGTGAGGCTTGTTACCACAGCTAAACCTGCTTAGATTGCTTTCTTCACTCATGCTTGTTGTGCTCCTGCTGTAATCACCAACGAGACTATCTTTTGAACTCAAAGAGAATTCGAATTTCTCACTAGAAGTTGGATTCTCTGTTGCACCGTTACCATTGTCATTGCTAGAGGAAACATTTTGTTTCATAACATTACAAGAACTAGAGGAGTTCTCATTGGCTACTTGATGAGCTTCTTTACCAACATGATTTGACATAGAGCTTAAACTGTCTGCGCAAAGTTTAGGATTATGACTTGTAGTGTATGAGGGCGGTTGGTTACTTTTGCTGGTGCTCTTCAATGAACAGTGACATCTTTGGCAGAGGAGCTTACTTGCACTAGAATGTAATGAAACATCAGTTCCTTCATCATTTTTTGTTGCGTTAGCTACAGAAACAATGCCAATCTTTAGCTTCTTCTTAAGCAGAATCTTCCTTTTTGGCTTCTGTTTAGGACGTGGAATCATTCTTGTTGCCTTGCGTACCGTTTTGCACTTCTCTGTTCTTGAGCTAGAATCAGCGGGCAGTGAGGTAACATGTTTGCCTATTTCTTTCACAACATCTTCAACAAACGCTTGAGTAGAAGTAGAGGTAACATTTTCATCTAACTGTGTCTGATCATCTCCACTGCGAGAGCTACAAGATCCTTTGTTGGATTTGTTCACCGGCTTAACCTCAGCTTGAGACGGCTCAGAAATGGGGTTAGAAGGCTCTTCAGACCGCTGAGACACTACACTCCTTGAAGTACTTGCTTTATCTCTGTTTACAGACGTCTCCACCAAGCTTCCTTTACCCTTGTCCACAGAAACAGAACCAGACCTGTTATTCGAAACTTGGTTATACAAACTCTTGATCATGTCTGCTTCAGAGACTCTCGGTGACGCAGCTGCGGATTTGGACACGCGTTTCAGAGCAGCCATTTCAGAGGCCTTGGAAACGCAACGATCCCTCAAAGCCTGCTTCAAGGAAAGAGAGTCAGAGACACCAAAAACTCTAGGCGATTGAGGGGTCTTTCCAGCCATTCTCATTGAAGGGCTTGTGGTCCTGCTTGGACCTGCACTGAAGCTCGTCTCAGTGTTGTGGAAAGAAGAGGTCATCAGCCTCAAGGATTGTTTCACAGATATAGACTGAAAAAGCTTGTCAATGTCATACTCAAGAGAACCATGATACTCTCTCTGCTTCCTCTGCTCCACATCATTGCTTGATGATCCCAAAACTGATTTACCATGTCTCCCAGAGAGTTTTGACAGTGTTGCTTCATCTTTCTCTTCCACAATCTCGCAGGAACCTGCAAAAGATCCCATTGCTTGCAGATTCTTTTTTCCACAGTGACTAAATCTCTGAGTTATTCATCTTCTATGATCTCCTACATCAATCACAGTTAACCTGACAAAAAGAATCATCAGATAAGACTTGTAAGAGAAGAGTTTTGATTAAAATGAGTAATAAGAAAACATTTTTAAAAAAAGAAGATTATGGAAATAAATGTAAAAATGGAGATATTAAAGATGAAGCATAATAACAGATCTAGAACAGATGCAAAGTATGTAGCTTTTGGCCATTATACCGTTTGCAAGACTCATTCATGAAGCCCACACAACCAAGTACAAAAAAAAAAAATTAAAAACAGCCAAAAAGAAACACTTTTTTTAAGAAAAAAGGGAAATTTTTTGGAAAGTAGAATTTAGTTTTGAGTAAAATCAAACCAACCAAAAAAAAACATCAAACCAACCAAACAAGACCAAGAATAAGAAAAACATTGAGTCACTGTAAGAGATCTAACAACCAATGTCAGAAGGAATCGAGAGATTGGTCTCAGATCCCATGAAACTTGAAAATACATTAGAACAGAGTAGCTGAAGCAAGAGTGAGGCTTCCATTTAATCCAAGCAGTCTCAAACATCGAATCTTAGAGCACCAAGTGGTTTCAAAAGCTAAACCCAGAAAGTTATTTTTTTATATTAAAAAAAGAACTGAAAGTGAGACCACTTACTGAAAATGAAAGGTAAGAACAAAATATCAGAGAAAGCCTCCTGAAAATGGTCCCCTAAAATCTCATTAAAACAATCAAAGAGAGTTCCAGAAGATGAAGAAAAGTGAAAATGAAAGCAGTACGCAAGAAGAAAAGGTAAAAGGATTTTTTTTTTTTAAAAAACTCGGGAAAATAGAAAGGAAGAGGGCTTACAAGAAAAGAGTTAAGCTTTGCTAAGAAGCTACCAAAAATATCGAGTGAATGATGAAGCTCAGATAAACCCTATGCAAAAATGGCCTTTAGCTTGAAGAGGATCCAGAGAAAAAGAGATGAGGAGGAGAAAGTACAAGTTTTTATTTATTTTTTCTTCTTAATTTCTATGGGGTTTATTGTAAGATTTTTGTTGTCTTTGGGTGAATGAGATGATCAACTTGAAAAACATGGTGGGCCCATACCACATTTCTTCTCTTATTAATGTATATTAATTTTAAAAATTATTCCCTCTATTCTAATATAAACATCATTTTAATTACTTATAGATTAAAAAACTAAATAATTTTTCATATTTTTTATATAAAAACACAGTTACTTATACACTTAACTATATTTTAATATTAAAAAAGTTACATAATAAAATTAATAAATTTTGTATCGAAAACAAAAAACGATACTTATTTTGTAATATAATTTTTTTCTATAATAATACTTAATATGAAACATAAAGAGTAACACATAAAAAAACATCAAGTTTTGTTTGTGTTTAACCCTTAAAACAAACAAACAAAATGAATTATGTTTGTGTAACTTGTCTAGTCATTAATTCTATTCATAAAGAAATTTCACTCTAATTTACTTCAACTATCATGACGCATTTTGATCACAGTCAAATTGCAAAACATTGCTTGCCATCATTTCTCGAGTAGTGACTATATGCAAATCTTATTACTCAGTCTAGGTAACTACACTAACTTAGTAAGGGGTGGTCACCAATCAAATACTAACAAATTTTCAATATTTATGATTTGTTTTGTATGTTACATATATCTAATTTTTTATTTGTTTTATTTAAGAAAATATAGATATCCGTAAAATATATAAATATTTGAGAACATTTACAAATATTTACGAATATCTTATATATTTTATCTAATACAAATAGTCTAGAAAATTTCATACAAATATGTTCTTTAATATATTTATTTACATGATATATATAAAATGAAAATTCAAAGAAGTAGTGAAAACTACATATTTTGTAAATTTTAAATATAGTTAACAGTAATACTAAGACAAAATTTTAGAAAAAGTCATAGTTATCGTAATTTTTTATTTAATATTTTTAGAAATATTAATGTGAATAAAATTTATTAAATCATATGTTAAAGTAATAATTATTTAAATTCATATATATTTAAAACTCTAAATATAATCAAGATATTTATATATATATATATATATATGTATTTATATATTTTTCAGAGCATAGCGAATATATATCCGTTTCTCAAAAAAAATACTATTTATTTTTATAAAAAATAATATTTATTATTTATTTTGATTTTAACGGATATTGATATTTACTATTTATTTTACTTCAATTTTTTTCAAATTTTTCATATCAAATTTTAAATGCTTAATGAATCGAATTAAATTTAACGAGTTTATCGGTAAGATATCAGCAGCAATATTGTCAGAAGCGAGAACAATACAGATTCCCATTTTGCACAGTTTATTTACAAAATGATTTATGACAACTCGTTGTTCAAAGACAAAAAACGTTTTATCTATTTTTCTTTTTTCAAATATATTGATTTTGGAAAGAATGAAAAACAATGTTTTTATTTCTTTCAAATTCACAATGAGTTCAAACAGTAAACAAAGTACTGGGACATACGATTAAGAATTACGCCTGTTACTAACTAGGGAAACCTTAATGATGAATGTAGGATTTAGACAGATAAAAATAATACAAATCAGCCTAATGCAAGAACAAAAAAATGGATTAACCAAAAAAAATGGATTGAGAATCAAATATATTAAAGGTACAATATGATATACTATGAACTATAGACACCATGAGTTATAACTTAGAACATGAATAAACTGTATTAAGAAAGCAACATACATTGTGATAATTTGACTCAAAATCAGACAGTATTTAGATGTAACAACATTACAAGGGCCGTTGACTGTTTAGAATGGTAGGTCAATGGGTCATACATAAGAATATAAGATTATTTCGGATCTCGTTAATTGGTAAAGTCTATATACACAAGAGAATCGATACTCTTCTTGGGTAATGCGGTTGCAATTTACAAGAAATTAGATATGTCTTTTTCCCGTAAAATATTAACTATAGATCATAATTTACCGCGATTTAAATTAAAAAGGTTAAACTGAAAATTTTACATTATGGCTTCTATTTAGCCACCAAGATGATAAATTCCGATAAATAAAGAACACCATAATAATAATTTAAAGAATGAATATGAACAATCCAGAATTGATCAAATAAATTATTAACGGTAACCATATAAGTTAATGTCTTTTTGATTTGTGTAACGTTCTAATAAAAATAGCATTATGTTAACGTGTAAGTTTGAGAAAAAAACACTCAATATACTTAGTCATCTTAATATATTTTTTTTGTAAAAATTCATTAAAATATATGAACTAATTTCTATTTGCCAATTGAATATATAGACTAATTTCGTTGTCTATTTAAATATTCAAAATTTTAAAATTTGTACATTTTAACATATTGTTTTAGACGGTGTATATTTAACGTCGTTGTCACTTCCGTTAAGTATAGTCTTCATCATCTAAAACAATGTGTAAAATCTGCAAATTTTAAAAGTTTTAATTAAACACTCACATCGTCGTCATTAGCATTAAATATAATTTATGCCGTCCAAAATTATAAAAACTGAAATCTTTTAAAGTTTATGTATTTACTAGACAACAAAAATTGATCCGTGTTAAACGAGAATCCAAAATAATTCATGTAGTTTATTCGTAAATAGAAATTAGTTCATGTATATTTAGAAAATGTTTCATGTATTCTATTCTAGTGGATCATTAATCGAAGTAAATTTCGAATGTACTTTTTCTATTTAAAACCTAATAATATGTTCAAAAGGTTTCTGATGTTTCAATATGTAAAATATATTCATAATACTAGGTAATTTTTAATTTTATTTAAAACTATGACTAATGGTATATAACAATTCATTTTGTAATTATTTGAATGGTTTTAATTAATGTTTTAATTAATGTTTTAATTTTTAGTTATTGTATAGCTACTCAAAACATCATATATGTTAGAGCACATTAAATTTTACGCGCTAGTGCCTTTTTGTGAAAAAAAATTAAAATTTTCAGTATATAATAAAAGCTTAATAATACTGAAATTTTGGTATTATTAATTTATAGAGTTATTGATTTACAAATTTTTTTTTAGATTTTTCTATTTTAAAATATTAATTTATAGAGTTATTGATTTACAAATTTTTTTTTAGATTTTTCTATTTTAAAATATGAATTTTTATAAAATAAGAAATTTTAATTTGAGTATTTATATATTAATTAATTTTTTAAAATTGATATTTATATTACTTTTCTTAGTTAATTTTTTGTATATAAAATTGTCAAATAGAATTTAGATGTTGTTTTAGATATAGTTTTACTAAATATCATCAAAATATATTAAATGTAAAAGTATAAAGATAACTATATTATTAATGTAAAATAAACAGGTTGGCTTGCACTTATATAATTCTTAAATATATAAATTATTAAGTTATAATTTAGTTAGGAGTTTAAAAAAAAAAATTATTTTAACTATTTTTGTCATATTTGAATCGATCCAATTGGAAATCAAAAAATATTATGTATAGTATTTCTTAATTTCTTGAGTATTAACTTATAGAGTTTTAAATGTAAGTTTCAGTAACTTTTATGAGTTGATAATTCTATGGCCGAGATGAATAGACGTGTCTTTTTGAATGTAGCGAAAAGCCTAAATAATAGTTGGAACGTGAAGTGATGAAATAATAGATTTGTTAGGTCTTGATAACCCTTCAGCCTAGGATTCCTCTTTCTGCGCCTTTAATCTTTTACCTTTTAATTAGGTGATCGGGTCGCATCCTATGCTACCATAAAAATATAACGTGATATCGGTTGAATTGAATTTTGATATAAATGTTTTAGTATTGAACTCATTAATCTCCATATATTACAAGTATAAAAAAGTTGATACTAATATACCGTGCATCTTCAATGTGGAAGAAAATTGAACAAGTGAAAGTTTTAATAACAAAATAAGGTTTGCGTAAATATTCAGAATGAAGTATGGTAGAGATAAAAGCTGGTTGCATAACTTCCGGAAGCAACATGTGCAGACATAAAATATTCAAAATATGGAAAAATTAAGTGTTCAGTTTTAGAAGTTATATATTTTATATTATCACTAAGTGAAGTTATGTTGTATGAATACTGTAATTATATATTTTAGGTGAAATATTATATTTATGTTTTTATAGTATTCAGTTCCAATTGTATATTTTATATTATATTCATGTTCTAGGTGTTTTTCCGCAATTTTGCGGGTAATTATATTATATGATGAAATATATATTATGTTTATACTATTATACTTTTTGAAGAATAATTAAAAATATTAAATTTAATTTTTAACTTCAAATATTTAGATAAAAAAAATTTCAGTATATATTTTTAAAAATTCTATGAGATTTAAAAAGAAATCAATAACATCCTTAGTCATTAAAAATCTTTATCCTACAAAAACCAATATTATAATTAATTCAGATAATTAGTTGTAAAATGACTTTATATATTATTTTAACACGTGAAAAATCATAAATACTCTAGCTTTCGAGAGAGAAAATAAAAGAAAACGTATTTTTTTGTGTAGATTCAATATGACCAATATGATGAGAGCTTTTATCATGAATATCTTTCATAAACGTTTTTGTGCGGGTTTTAAAACCATAAAAAGTTCTAATAGTTCATTACTTACAAATCTAATTATTTTGTATAAATATTTATAAATATTAACTTTATTTCTAAAAAAATAAAATTATTTTATTTAATTCTATATAAATAATTGATAAATATAAATAAATTGAGAAATATATATATATATTCTTTTTCTAATTCTAAAATTAGTTACCATAAATCATTATTTGTAATATTACTTGTGTTATTTGGTAATTTGTATTAATTATATGATTAAAATAAATAACTACTAAAGTCAAAAAACAATCAAATTATATGTTAATATACTTTTCTAATTTTGAATAATAATCACTAATATTATATATAGTGAATT